CTCAGATTCCATCAGACCAGATCTGCAATGACACAGGCAATCTCCTCAGCTGTCTGTGTGATGGGGTGTGTACAGCCCACCTGGAGGGGCCAGCACCCTCTCAATTCACCCACATTATAGGGGAAGCTCCTTCCCCATGATCCTGCTGAGTCTAAGTCTCCAGAGGGCTTTGTTTTTGCAATAGTCTTAGATAATACAGCAGGGAGTAATTGTTTTGGGGGAGCTGGCTGGTGACTGGCAGAGAGAGGACCAATCCTCACTTTTTTCATGAGTGGGTGGAACAGGGGGATCTGCTGCTGAACGGTTCATCATGTTGGCACAAAAATCAGGAGTGGAGAGCTGCAGGTGAGGGTACTAGTCATGAGGCTCTGGTGCCTCAGTAGCATCCTTTAGTCATGAGGCTCCTGGTGCCTCAGTAGCATCCTTTATGGAGTTGCTCATCGCCGCCCGTCTCTTCTGACTGAGAGTGTGGGAGAGGCACACTTAGCGAAGGGTTTCGTATTGTTCTTAGCCCAGGCCTCCTCTGCCTCTGCCCACACTCTGCCCTTAGCCTCAACTCCAAATGCCCTTGACTCTCTTTTCCCACGGTCAGTCCCCAAGTTGGAATCCTTTACATGGCTCTTATCTGTGCTTCTAATTTGATATTTTTAGTTGTTTTTGTGTGTGGTGCTGGTGATTGAATCTGAGGCTTCGTACCTGCAGAGGCAGGTGTTATACCACTGAGCTGCCTTCCAGCTCCTGATCTCTGCTTCTGCAGCACCCTGGGCAAGGTGGCCCTGTAGGAGGAGGCTGAGTTTTCTTGCTTGGTGGGTTGACTGTTGGCCCCTTCCCATCTCCATGGGTCAGGTTTCCATGGGAGGTGGTAAGTATTGCATACACATCATCTTTAATCATTACAACCAACAAAAGGAGGAAGGCTGTGGTCCCATTTTAAAGATTAGGAATCAGTTGTACAAAGTCAGTTAGATATTGATGATGGAGCCAGAGTTGAACTCATAGCTACCAATTGCACACTTTCTGTGGATCTTGGGTGCCTCCGTGTTAGAGCCTCTGGGATAGACAGTATTATCCTCTCTCTCTCTCTCTCTCTCTCTCTCTCTCTCTCTCTCTCTCTCTCTCTCTCTCTCTCTCATCTACTATTGATCTATTATCTATCTCCCATCTATCTGCCTGCCTATCATCTATAATCTGTCTACCTAGTGATTGATCTATCAATAAGTCATCTGTCCATTTTTTCTGAGACAGGATCTCACTGAAGCACAGGCTGATCTTGAACTCACTGTGTATCCAAGCTAGCCTTGAACTGGAGAGCTCCCTGCCTCAGTCTCCTGAGTGCTGGGATTGAAATGTGTGCCACCATGCTAAGCAAAAAGAAATTTAAAGATGTTCAGTCTCTCCTCTTCCCCACTTTTTTTTTTTTTTTTTTGGTTTTTCCAGACAGGGTTTCTCTGTGTAGCTTTGCGCCTTTCCTGGATCTCGCTCTGTAGACCAGGCTGGCCTCAAACCCACAAACATCCGCCTGCCTCTGCCTCCCGAGTGCTGGGATTAAAGGCGTCTACCACCATCCCCCCCCACTTTCTTTTTAAGATGGATAATTTTTATGTAGCTCAGGCTGACCTTGAATTTGTGATCTTAAGTCAGCCTTCCCAGGCCCAAGATCATCAATGTACACCCCCATGCTTGGCTCTGCCTTTTTTTTTTTAAACAGGGATGATGCAGATTCTTTGGAACCTGGTTCTTCCAGTGCTGTCCCCTATTAAGGATCAACACACTCAATGGAAAATGAGTCAGACATGAACATGCAAATCCTATGGGAGGGAAGATGCCTGCTTTGTGGTTCCACTCATCAAAATATTACCCCTCCCTATGATGCTTCAGTGTTTCTTCATAGGTACAGTTCCTGGGTGCATGCTCAGACCCTAGAGGCAGGCTCAGATCCTAGAGGACAGGTTCAGATTCTGGGGTACATGCTCAGGTCCTGGGTGCATACTCAGACCCTAGAGGCAGGCTCAGACCTGGGGTTCATGCTCAGATCCTGGGGTACATGCTCAGACCTGGGGTTCATGCTCAGATCCTGGGGTACATGCTCAGACCTGGGGTGCATGCTCAGATCCTGGGGTACATGCTCAGATCCTGGGGTGAATGCTCAGATCCTAGAGGCAGACTCAGATCCTGGGGTGCATTCTCAGATCCTAGAGGCAGGCTTAGATTCTGAGGTGCATACTCAGATTCTAGAGGACAGGCTCAGATCCTGGGATGCATACTCAGATCCTGGGGTACATACTCAGATCCTAGAGGGCAGGCTCAGATCCTGGGGTGCATGTTCTTCACCCATGACCCAGGCTTGTAAAAAGCACAGGTGATTTTTCAGGGTTGCAAGGTTCCCAGATTACTCATCAAAGCCTTGGTAACTTGATTAGACGTCAGACCCCCGAGAACCTGTGGGATGAGTTGCCTGAAATAGATCCAGCACTTAGATGGCTTTTGGTTAGAACCCTGGGGAGGCAGTGGCAGGCCTGATTTGGCTATTCCTTTGTACCCTGTCATAGTTACTGCCAACTTGATTCAAACATAGACATACCTGGGAAGAGGGAACCTGGATTGAGGAATTGCTTCCATCAGATTGGCCTGTGGGCATATCTGTGGGGGATTTTCTTGATTAATGATTGATGGGGGGGCATTGTGGGCAGTGCCATCCCTGTGCAGGTGGGTTTTGGCTACATGAGAAAGATAGCTGAGCAAGCCAGTAAGCAGTGTTCCTTTGTGATCTCTTTTTTCAGTTCCTGCCTCCAGGTTCTCACCTTGAATTCCTGCCTTGGTTTCTTTGATAGTGGACTGTATATAACCTGTAAGCCAAACAGAGCCCTTTCCCCCACAACTTAGTTTTGGTCAATGTTTATCCCAGAAACAGTAAAGCAAACTAGGACACATGCCTTGCATCATTTAAAGGTAAAGAGTTGACGGTGAAGACGGACGTGTGATGGCTGTGTGTGTTGGCATGTGTATTTGTGGACTATGTGTGGCTGAACGTGTGTTGACAATGTTGGAACGAGGCAGATTCCAAAGCAACAGCATTGATCTGCGTGTTTGCATCGCCGAGGCGAGGGAGGAAGTGGCTATTGCTGGGCTTGCAGCCAACTCTGCTGTCCCGGGTTCACACTCCCCGACAGCCTGTGAAGGCAGCGCTTATGGTCGGGATCACGCGTCTCTGTGCTGGGGCTCAGTCTGTGAGGAATCGGAGGCCTCGATGAGTTGCTGGAGTCCTCCTGGCACATCTCTGAGCCGTGGGCTGCTGCCAGATCACTGCCTCCCAGACGAATGTGTGAGTGAGTGAGTGCTCGAACTCAACCCAGAAGAGCTTAAAAAAAAATCCAAGGCAAATCTTGAGAGAGCAGGGGAAAATATGCTCTTTGTGAATTATTATTATTATTTTACCTTCTGGAAGTTACCAGAAAATTCCATCTGTACTAACCCTGCTAGGGTTCCTTGCTCTGACTATTGTACCTTCCTGAGGGCTGGGGTTTTTGGGTTGAGCTGCTGCCAGAGGCAGAAGCAGTGTCTGCCCTGAGTACCACTGGCTGGTGGGTCTTAGGAATGCCATTCATTTATCCCATCCCAAATCCACCAGGAGCACACTTACCATCACATTAATACCCAGAAAGACCACGGCTAGTATTTATAGCTCAAAATAAACAGTACAAAATCCCAGCATCTTATGATCTTTAAATGAAACCAAGGCAGATAATTTATGGTCTTAAGTGACTGTATGAAGATGCAGAACTCAGCTGAGCTGCTTGAAACTGTGGGGTGTTTCTCAGAGACCTCCAGCATCCGCTGTAAGTTTATTAAGCACTGGAACCAGACAGCACTTCTGCCCAGTGTGGTTATTTGATTATCAGGCTTTCACTTTCCTACATTTGACCCAATGCAATATTTTCTTACGAAGCTGCGGTGCTGGGAGATTCTGACGGAATCCCACAGGGAGAGGCACAATTAAGAATCTCATGCCACAGAGCATCCCTTTGTCCTTGTGATTAGCGGAAGTGAGGACGTTCACCCTGGGCAAAATAGTGCTGATGTAGGTTCTCTTGAGTTCGGCTTTTTATGTTCATAGAACCATATTTGTAGCCTTTTTTTTTTTAAACTTGTCTCCTCACAGGCTGTAGTATTTTATTACCTCAGCATTATGAACAGTAAGGCATTGACTTTAGGATAACAACGATTGTTTTATCAGCAATCTGCTCTGGTGGATATCCTGAGAATATTTCATACTTATCAGTTTTTTTTTTAAACCTCTAAGGCTAACTCCACAGAATTCCCAAACACATTCTTATTTCAGTAGAAAAGTTTAAGAGAAGAGAAAAAGGAATTAATGAGCCACCTCGTGGTGTGTAGACAGAAATATCTGGGTAATCACGCTCATGTTTGATTTGGCTTGATTGATTAATTAATTAAACATTTATTGAGCCAGGGCAGTGTTAGCTGCTGCTTTGCTGTGTCTGATAGTTGGGGACCTGAAAGGTAATTTGCCAACTTTGGTCCTTCCTGCAAAGAGCACTGGAGAGGAGATCATGATGACCAATCACCCTCATCAGTCGGGTGAAAAGGGCCTCTCCCCCCCTTACCCCTGGCTTTAAACTGTGTGCCCCTGAATGTCACAGGCTGAATGCTTGGTTGTGGTAGTGCTGGGGCATCAGGTCTCTTCATGTGGCTGCATGGGGAGCACATTGAACATGTGTGTGTGTGTGTGTGTGTGTGTGTGTGTGTGTGTGTGTGTGTATCCATGAAGACTGTAGGTCAGGGGGGACAGAAGTCCCATTTCTATCACTGTGAGGAGTGTTTGTGGATACCAAATTGTAAGATGCATGTGCTCTCGGATGCAGGCATTCCACTTTTGGGGAATTATCTTAAACAACATAACCCAGTGCCCATGGTGCTAAATATTTCTTATTTCGTTTGTTCACTCATCAACTATCTGATGAGCTTCTGCTGCCTTCCAGGGACTCTTCTGGGGACTCAAGAAAGAGCAATGAACAGGACAGATTGGTTCTTGCATGCTAATCACAGGAGGTGGTGATGAACATGTACAAGAAACTACGGAGCAGCTAGCCCCTTCCTTCAGGTGAGGTCACAGTGTGAAGGTTTAAATTTTGAAGAAGTCACACTCACCAGGTGTCCCAGTTCACTTTCTCTTGCTGCAATGAACACGATGGCCATAAACCACTTGAGAGAGAAAGGCTTCTCTCATTGTACTCCTCCCAGGTCACAGTCCGTCATGAAGGGGAAGTTGGGGCAGGAACTCAAGGCAGGGACTGATGCAAAAGCCATGGAGGAATGCTGCCTACTGGCTCCCTCCCCACGGCTTGCTTACAACCCTGGGCCACCTGCCCTTGTCCACGGTGGGCCAGGCCCTTCCACATCTGTCAGTAATCAAGAACAGGCTCCACAGAGTTGCCTTCAGGTATCTGATGGAGGCAATCCCTGAGCTGGGGCTTCTTCTCATATGTTACTTTCCTATTGCTGTGAAGAGACGCCATGTCTAAGGTACCTTACAGAAGAAAGACTCCATTGGGTGCTTACAGTTTTGGAGGGTGAGTCCCTGATCATCATGGTTGGGAGCATGGTGGCAGATATGGTGCTGGGGCAGCAACTGAGAGCTTACAGCCTTACCCACAAGTAGGAGGCAGAGAGACAGCTGACTGGGAATGGTCCCAACACCCACTCCACCAATTGGGAAATCAAGTATTTAAATATATGAGCCCATGGGGGTCATTCTCATTTCAGCCACCACACCGGATGTGCCTAGGTTTGCATTAGGCTGCCAAAAACAAAAACAAAACCAAAAAAAAAAAAAAAAATGACCAGCACAGCAGGCAACAAAACCCACCATTGCCCCCATCTTGATCTTGGACTTTGAAGCCTCCGGGACTATGACAAGCTGCTCAGTTTGTGCCATCTTGCTGTGAAATTCTAGGTGGACTTACGGTACGTGTTCAAGGGCCCATTGTTTCATTGTCAAGTGTCTGTGATTTTCTAGCCCACACCAGGATCGTCGGAGAACAGTGTTATTATATCTACAAACTCCTCTCCACCAGCGATTGCAGCTCAGTGCTAAGACAGACCCTTCCCAGCTGCAGTCAGGTGCGATGATACACGGCACTCACCCACTTCTTGCTCCACTGAGAACATGCGTGTGATCAGCATGGCTACATGGCTGGAGGAGGCTGTCTCATCGTAGAGAGGCGGGGACTTGAAGCACCTTGGGCTCAGGACTCAACTGCATAACCCTACTGTTTTGTGGGCTCTGTCAGGATGCCTTCTCGTGATCTGTCTGGGATGCTGCACCTGCAGAGTCTTCCTTCCACTTCCCTATGGCTACCCCAATGCTCTACCTTGTCTCTCCTGCCTTATGCCCAGGTTCTTTGAGAGCCCCCGGACAGTCGTGTGAACCTTGAAGGTGGCTAACAACATGTATATTAAGCCAGACACACGGATATGAGAATTTATGGGCACATAGTAGGGCAAATAGAACACGAAGGAGGTTCTCGGCATCTGGCCTGGGTGGGAGGGCCCCAGAATTCATAGCTAGCCTGATATGTAATGGTGTTTCTTGATGCTGTGCTGTAAAACCTGGAGGCAGAGGTGCCTGCTTCCAGGGGAAAAAGGAAATGAAAAAATGGCAGGGAGTGTGAAATTCAACTTCTTCAATACCATAATGGTGTTTGCCTCTAGCATATAGGTTAAAACACAGACACACTAAAATAACTATAGCTACAATAGTTTGTTAGTGGATACCCAATATCAAAAGAAGTAAATTGGCTTGTCATGGTGGCACAAGCCTTAAATCCCAGCACCTGAGAGACAGAGGCAGGTGCAGCTCTATGAATTCCAGGCCAGCTTGGTCAACAGAGTGAGTTCCAGGACAGCTGGGACTACACAGTGAGACCCTGTCTCAAAGAAAAATTACAGTGTCAAAAGCATAAAATGCTGTTAATAAGAATTAAAATTTGGAGATTTTATTTAAAAAACTGAGGAAGGGACAGAGGAACTGCAAAACAGACAACCAGCAAAGTGGCAATTGTTCTATCTAGCAACAATTTTCTTAAATGACAATGGATTAAATTCTCCAACCAGAAGATGTGGAATGGCTGAATGGATATGAAAAATGAAATCAGCGTGGGGTGGGGATGGGGGTGGTGGTGATGGTGGTGATGGTGGCACACACCTTTAATCCCAGCACTTGGAGGCAGAGGCGTCTGGATGGTTGGATCTCTAAGTTTGAGGCCAGCCTGGTCTACAGAGTGAGTTCCAATATAGCCAGGGCTACTCAGAGAAACCCTGTCTTAGGAAAAAGAAAGAAAGAAAGAAATCAAATCACAATGGTTTTGAATTTTATGTTACCCATAAAATTGCTTTAAGGGCATACAGGGTAGAGCTGGGCCAGCACTTGGGAGATGAGGCAGGAGGATCGATCAAGAATTTGAGTCCAGGCTGAGCTGTACAGGAGGTTTTAGGACAGTCAATGCTAGATAAGTTGAAACTATTACAAGAGGCAAAGAAAATTGTTGTGGTATAATAAAAGAGACAATCCATCAAGGTGATAGGGCGATTGTAATGTATATCATACCCAACAATGACGTACCTAAATATATAAAGACAGATGTCAACAAATCTGATGGGAGAAATGGACAGCAATATGATTAACAGTAACAGACTTCAGTACTCAATTCCAGCCATTGGTAGATCACCTGGTTGAAAAATCAATAAAAGCTGTTGGACTCCAGCCACATGTTAGACCAAGTAGACCTAGCAGACATCGCTAGTACTTTGCATCCAGTGCAACTAGGTACACATGCTTCTGAAGCATACATGGCATCCTTTCCAGGGTGTTTTGGCCACAAAGAAATCCTAATCAATACAAGAAGATGGAATCTATTTGAAATCTCTTTTCTGATTACAACAGTATATGGTAAAACTAGGAATTGGTCTCAGAAGCAAAGCTGGAAGAAAATCCAGTGTTGGTGTCTTAGCCACTGTTCTATTGCTGTGAAAAGACACTACCCAAGGCAAGTCTTATAAAGGAAAGCCTTTAACTGGGGCCTTGCTTACAGTTTTAGAGTGTTAGTTCACAATCATGATAGTGGGATACAGACAGGCATGGTGCTGGCAAAGTGGCTGAGAGCTTTACATCCTGATCCATAGTCAGCAGGCAGAGAAAGTGACTCTGGGCTTGGTATGGTCTTTTGAAACCTCAGAGCCCACCCTCAGTGACACACCTTCTCCAACAAGGCCACACCTCCTAATCTTTTCAAACAGTTTCACTAACTGTGGACCAAACGTTCCAACACATGAGTCCATGGGACCATTCTCATTCAGACTATCACAATGTGGTCTTAAACAACTGTCTTAAGTCCAGTCCAGGCACAAACTGAGCAGCTTAGGGGTAGTTTACACCCATTTTTCTTTGTCCTGAAGGCTTCTAAGTCCAAGATAAAACTGATGGTTTTTGTTGCCCCGAAGGTCCTGATTTCTTCCCACTGTGCCTTTACCTGGAGGAAGCGGGAAGCCTGTTCTGTAGTCTTTTTGCCAGGGGAGCGATCCTGGTTACACTCACGATTTAATCACCTGCCAAGGGCCTATCTCCCAATAAGGAGTTAGGATTTCAAGGGGATTATGTCATAAGCATTCAGACTATAGCAACAAACCATGGCTTTAAAGAAGAATTAAAGGAGAAATTAAATATTTGAGACAGGGCTGGAGAGGTTGCTCAGCAGTTAGAAGCACACAGCACTCTTCTAGAGAGCCCAAGGTCCATTCCCAGCATCCACAATGGCCAGCTTACAACTGCCTGTAACTGCAGTTCCAGAGAGACCTGATGCCTCTGGCCTCCTTGGACATCTGTACACACACACACACACACATGCATATTCAAACGTAGCCTGACAACCTGATTTTGATTCCCAGGACCAAGATGATGGGAGAAGAGAACTGAGCCCTCCAAGTTGGTCTATGGCTTCCACATGCATGCTGTGGCACAGGTGTACCCCTCCAACAGGCACACACAAATAAATAAATAATAAATAAATAAATAAATAAATAAATGTAATAATTTTTTTTAAGAAGAAAGCTTTCAAAGAACCCAATTTTATACTTCAAGGAACTAGAAAAAGACACTAACCAAAGGAAGTAGAAGGATTAAAGATTAAAGTAGAAATAAATGAAATCACATCTAGAAAAAAAGACACCAGAAAAGATAAATCAAATAAAGATCCTGCTTTTGAAAAATTAAATCAAGTGGATTGCCATTAGCTAGACTGAGGGGGAAAAAGACTTAAAATCAGAAGTGTAAAAGATACACAGAAACATGAAGGATCACAAGAGAGTGTGCAAGAGCTGGATAGATAACTCACCATAAGTGGATAATTTACCAGTATGTACAGTGTACTAAGACCGAGTTCTGAAGAAATAGAAAATAGGAACAGCGCAATAACAAATAAGGAAATTGAATCAAATGTGTAACAAACAACCCCCGCAAAAAAAAAAAGCCCCAAATCTCCCAACAAAAAAGCCCAGGACCAGATGGCTTTACTGGTGAGGAAACAACACTCAGATGCATTTTATGAGGTCAGCATTATCCTGTTCTCTAAGTCAGACAATGACGCTGTAAGAAAAGAAAATGATTGGCCAATATCTTCAAAGTTAGATGCCAGATTCCTCCCTGGAAATCCCAGCAAACAGCATTTAAGAACACATTCAAACACACACTGTGATCAAATGGGTCTGACGCCTGTAAAGCAAGGATGGTTCAACACATGCAAATCAATAAACAGGCAAAGGATGAAAACTGGATCGTTGTCTCAGTTAATACATAAAAAAAGTTAGATAAAGTTTAACATCATTCCATGAGAAAATACTCAAACATTTATGTATAGAAGGCATGTACCTCAGCATAATAAAGCTTCACAAACCCACAGATAATATCGCGGTCAACACTAGAAGTTGAAGTTGCTCATTAAAGACAAAGAGCAAGACAAGAATGCCTGCTCCAGCCACTTCTGTTCTGGGCAGAACAATTATACAATAAAAAGCTGTAAAAGGAGAAGTTGTTGCTGTTTGCAGATGACATGATCTTACATGCATAGAATACCAGTGACTCCACCCAAAACTATTAGAATTAGTAAATAAATATGGTATGATTACAGGACAGAAAATGAACACACAAAATCAGTTTTCCATGCACTATCAAACAACTATCCAAACAAACAAACACCCCCAAAGTCCCATTTACAGCAAACAGTATCAAAATGAACGCAGCAAGGCCAGGTGTGATGTCTCTCTCATACCTTTAATCCCTGCTCTGAGGAAGGCTGAGGCAAGGGGATTTCAACGAGTTCCAGGCCAGCCAGTACTACGTAGTGAGATTCTGTCTCAAAACAAGCAAACAAACAAAAACAAAAAACAAGGGGCTTGCTTCAGCAGCATGGGTAACTCCAGGGCAGCTGGATGGCTAAAAGCACCACTGTCAGTATTTTACAATGATGCTTATCCAGCAGCAGGGTCAAGTGGTGCTTGGAGAGCTGAGGTAGGTTCTGAGGATGTTGTGAGCACCCCGCTGATCTCCAGGAGGGAGTGTTAGCAGCCACAGCTGGCTTAGAAACTTGCAGGTCTGTTTGTTTCATCATCCCAACTGTACACCCAGTTGTCCATAGGTCACTGTAGGTGCTTTGCTCTGTAATTGTGACGTTCATGTCAGAGGAAAAGATGTTCTATAGAAGTGTATACCCAAAGGCAATAAGGTGACTCCCCACACAGAGATATGCGCACCCACTCTGCTCTGTGTGCACTCAGTGTTATTTACAACAGCCAAGATCTGAAGTAATCAGTGAGTTTGTCCATGGTTAAAAGGATAGAGACCTCTCTCTCTCTCTCTCTCTCTCTCTCTTTCTCTCTTTCTCTCTCAACCTACCCCCTCTCTCCCCTGTATACATGCACACATATGCACACATATATGTACACACAAAGATACAAGATTTGATTCAGCCTTGATAAAGGAGGCTGCCACTCATGATGATGTGAATCTGGAGGGCAGGGCACTGAATGAAATAAGCCACACACAGAGAAGAAAACACACACTTGGACTAAAAGGGGCACCTAAAATGTTAATTGTGTAGAAACAGAGAGAGTGTTATCAGGAGCTGGTGGGCATAAAGGGGAGATTCTGGTCTAATGGGACAAAGTTTCATATGTGTAGGGTGTCATTTATGTAGGGTAAGTCCTGGAGATCTGGTGGGCAGCATGGCATCTCGGTGCAGCTTAGGTTTGACATTTACTAAGAGAACAGATTCCAGGTTTCCTTTTTGTTTATTTGAGACACTTCATAGCCTGACTGTCCTATATAGACCAGGCTGGCCTCAAACTCACAGGGATACATTGGCCTCTGCCTCCAAGTGCTGAAATTAAAGGCACATACCACTATGCCTGGCCTCGTATTCTTAACACACACACACACACACACACACACACACACACACACACACACACACACACACAGACCCCTATACTGCATAAGGTGGTAGATATGTTAATTAGCTTGATTATGGTAATCACAGCCTTCTGTATCAGGTTTCCACATCCTAAGATCCAACCAACTGTGGATAGAGACAAAAAATATAGCATCTCAACTAGAAATATGTTCAAGCATTTTTTTCTTGTCATCCACTGAATACAATATCCATTGATATTCCATGAGGTCTTGTGTTATATTGACGACTTAAAGGATTCAAAAGGATTACACAGGTCCTGTGCAAATACTTGAATGCTGACCTACCCTTGGGTGACCTGGAGCTAATTCCTACAGACACCGAGGGATAATTTCACATGTATGGCAGGTCATTATGTTGTATTCCTTAAAAACATGCAGTTTTTATTTGTCAGTGGTACTTCATAAATGCTGGAGGAAAAGGAGGCCACAGGATTTTGTTGTGCTATTGGGTGTTGGAGTCTCTGCCTGGCTCAGGCAGCTGCTTGGTAATTCTAAAGATCTGTGACAGGAGAGTCACTGTGATGGTCCTGTCTGGTACCATTCAAGGAGGTGAAGATGGAGGATGTGTCCACAGGTTGTTTTAAAGACAGCCTTAGTGTGTCTCTCGTTACCTCCAGGGCTTATGAGCATGTCCAGAGGTCCCCCCATCCTCAAAGTCCCTGGTTCTGGTCTAAGAAAGAATTTTAAGAAAATGAGGATCTGTATTTTCCTTTATCATTTTCAACCCTTAAGCAAAGCATCAGCCTTTGAACTTTGCACTCATCCATCAAGAGAGGAAGAAAAGTATGTGGTGTGTGTGTGTGTGTGTGTGTGTGTGTGTGTGTGTGTGTGTGTGTGTGTGTTTGATTTGTTACTCCAAGATAGAAAGAAGGAAGAAACACCTCTTCCTACCTGGTGGGCCTATCTTAGAATGGTATCACATCACAGTTTTACAGCAGGATTAAGAAGGTACCAGTGACACAGAGGTCATTTCCCCACAGACTGACTGCATGGGGGAACCTGTCCCTGCTTTTGCTGCTCTCAGATGTGTGACCAGGGAAGGAGTGAGGGTCTGGGAGACTGAAAGGGGGCATGAGCAGAAGTCATGAGTGTTTTCAGGCCAGTGTTAAAGTGGCTTGCAGGTATCACTCAGTGTGGGGGTTTGAGGGAGAAATGTCTCCTATAGGCTCATGTGAATGACTGGTCCCCAGTCGGTGGCACTGTTGGTGGAGGCTCTGGAACCTTAGGGAGGTGGACCCTTGCTGAAGTAGTTGCTAGGGGTGAACTTTGAGGGTTTATAGCCTCACCCTCCTTCATTCCCTCGCTCCTCTTCCCTCCATCCTGTATGTGGATACAATGTGATCAGGCAGCTTCCCGCTTTTGCTGCCTACAGTTTCTGCCTCTTGTGCTTCCCTGACCACGGCGGACCCTATCACTCTGGAATCACAGATGCTTCCTCCTCCTCCTCCTCCTCCCCTCCTCCTCCTCCCAACTTCCTCCCCTCCTCCTCCTCCTCCTTCTCCCCTCCTCCTCCTCCTTCTCCCCTCCTCCTCCTTCTCCCCCCTCCTCCTCCTCCCCTCCTCCTCCTCTTCCTCCCCTCCTCCTCCTCCTCCTCCTCCTCCTCCTCCTCCTCCTCCTCCTCCTCTTCTTTGATTTTTCAAGACAGGGTTTCTCCATGTAGTTTTGGTGCCTTTCCTGGAACTCACTCTGTAGACCAGGCTGGCCTGGAACTCACAGAGATCCGCCTGGCTCTGCCTCCCGAGTGCCGGAATTAAAGGCGTGCACACTGCTGCCCAGCTGCTTTTCTCTTCTAAGTTGCTCTTACAGGAGTGTTTTGTTTGTTGCACCTACAGAAAAGTAATATGCACTCAGTGTGGCCTGCACACGCCTCCCCTTGCCCACAAGCTTTGCACTTTAGTGCTTTCTTTTTATCCCACCCTGCTGGAGTGGGGCAAATTCACACTTCTCTTACCTCACACCTTTCCACTGGAGGAGGCAGAGTCCAGTGCTCAGCACCTCTTATGGACTTGACACTGTTTTCCATGGACACATCCCTAAGAAGACCCAAGTACCTAGCTAGAGTCCCGGAAAGCCTTTCTTCAGTGCCAGGCTGGGATCAGCATTTCGCCATCCTAGTCCTTTGGTGTTGTGTTCTGTGCCCCATGGACACAATAGCGATGTATTTAATCAGCAAGGCATGCAAAAGACAAATACATGTTGAGAAGTGACCACTCACAGGCCGGAATACCAACCCCAGCCCCCAAATTCTGGGAAGACACCAAGAGACGTAAGTTATGTGTTTTGCAGATAACGAGAAATGAAGAAATTGACCTAGGACCTAGGGGGCTGGCTTAGTAGCTAAGAGCACTTGGGAGTCAGGGACCAGACATGTGGATTCCATTCCCAGCACCCATATGGCAGCTTACAACCATTCAAACTGTCCATAACTACAGTTCCAAGGGCTGCACTGCCTTCTTCTGACCTCTGTGGGCACCAGGCACATATATGGTGCACATACAAACATGCAGGATATATATATATATATATATATATATATATATATATATATATATATATATATATATATATATGTATAATAAAAATAAACAAAAGAAAACGTAGCTAGAGGAATGCCAGTTCTAGGTCAGCTGTGGGACTCAGTGGTGTCCTTTCTCATATCATCTCATTTAGCTGTATTTGTCTTTGATTCAGAAACTTGCCAGACTGGTGGCCAATGCCTATAGCCTGTCAGGATCCACTACAGCTAAATTCAGAATCAGATTGAATCCATAAACTCAGAGTTAATGTCTATACTAAACAGTAGTTCTGGGGCAGCAATAAGAATAGTCTTGGAAAACCATGGTCAAGTCAACAAACTTTCTCTCTCTCTGGCCTTTTTAGTCAGCCCACTGCCAGATGACTTGAGGAATATATAGAATGATATTTTTTTGGACTCTGCCTCCCAGACTTTAAGTGTCATGGAGTCCTGGATTTGTTTATTGTGGTTCTCAAGTATGTTTTCTGAGTAGTTGTAAGCTTGAGTGAAGACCAAGTTGTTTTATTTCTAGAAAGTCTAGTATGCAGTCTGTCCATCCATCCATCCATCCATCCATCCATCTGTCCATCCATCCATCTATCCATCCATCATCTATGTATCTTGTGTATTTTTTGTGGAGGATGTATGGGGGTTAAACATAGTTCTTTCATTGGCTTACATCCCCAGCGCTAATAAATAACTTTAAAAATTATTTTTATTGTATGTGTATGAGTGTTTTGCCTGCATGTATGTCTATGCACCATGCGCATGCCCAGTGTCCTTGGAGGTCAGAAGAGGGTATCAGAAGGCCTGGAACTGGAATTAACAGGCAGTTATGAGCGGCCATGTAGGTGCTGGGATTCAATCCTGGGTCCTCCACAAACAACAAGTGCTCTTAACTACAATCATCGTCTCTCCAGCCCGCACAATGAACACTTCTGGAGTGACTCACTGGTCCTCCAGTGTTTTCTCTAGTCAGAGTTCCTTGGCTTTTCTCTCTCTCTTTCTTTTCTTTTGGTGGTGGTGGTGGTGGGGAGGATGAAGATGTGTGGCCTCTGTTGTGTCTGGGTCCTGCCTAATTCTGCCATAACATTTTAGTAGAAAAGGTCTGTGCCATCTCCTAACACTTAGTATCCATCCCAGGGGCAGGCGCTGAACAGACTTCTAACCATTGTGCTATGCTTAACCGGAAGGAAAGCACAACCATTCTTTACTTAAGATAGATCTGTGTCCCTTCAGCTCGGGTTGCTGGCTTGTCCTGGAAACTGCAAGTGTCCCCAGCTGGAGACTGAGCCAGCCACTTCCCCACCAGTCTGTAGGACAGAACTGACAGCATTACCTTGTCTGGACCCAACTTTGGAAAGATTCGATTTTCCTAATTCCCCTCCAGGTCCCGAGCGGAGTCAGTGACTGATTAGTTCCAGACTAGTCATGTGCTGGTTGTATTTATAGTGCTAATTAATTAATACAGGTAAAGAGCTTGGAAGATAAAGTGCTCCGACAGCGCAGTGTCTAAAATGACGATTAACTCCCAGGCTGGGGACCTTCGAATGTGAACGTATGGGGGAAAATGTGCCTTCCCAGGTGGAGCCTTTTAAAAAGCAGCCACTTGATTACGGAAGACATAAATTAACTGGAGGAAGCAGAGCTCAGTCGGTGACAGACTGTCGTAAGAATCCTTCCCCGTTTGGTTTCCATTTAAATCGACACATATGGCGAGGGGTTGTTTAAGGGTTTCAAGTGTGCATGCATGCTCCTGAGGGAATATGGATGCCGTGATTTAAGTGAACTCAGGAGGTGGCCCGGCTTCTCAGCCTTGGGAGAAGGGAGCAGCACTGGGGTCTGCAAGGGCCAGAGGGCTCACAGGTGGTGACCTTGCTTCATCACATTGTGTACAGGCAGAGATGAAGAGAAGCCCCTCAGATGGGTAGTGTTGGTGTGTGTTCTAGCATCATTCTTTTGCTACAATAAAAAACTCTGACCAAAAGCAACTTAGGGAAGAAAGGGTTTGTTTTAGGTTACAGCCCATCACCGAGGCAATCTGAAGCAGAAACCACAGAAGAATGCTGTTTACTGACTCGACTTGCTCTCTGCTTCATGCCCAGCCCAGGTCTACCTGCCTAGGGATGGTGCTGCCCACAGTGGGCTGGGCCCTAACACATCAGTTACCAATCAATACATTCTCACGGTCCTGGTCACAAGCCAGTCTGATCAACACAATTCCTCAATAGAGGTTCCCTCTTCCCAGGTGACTCTGGGTTGTGTGAGGTTGACGCTAAGAACTGACTAGCACAGAGCATACATCTGAGGAGACCTGGTGGCACTAAGGCCCAATCTAGACACTGGTGATCAGGTGGTGTATTAATTTTTGCTACAGTGAAAAATGTCTGTTCACCCAAGATAGGGCACCAATTACACACAGAGATAATGGCTTCACCTAGGTCTAGCTTGGTGAACCGGTGAGTTCGTTGGGCTTACCTCCAGGAGAATGGGCAAGGGCTTACCTATCAGACTTGCCCTGATTAGTTCTCATCATTTTCTCACAAACTAGAGTCCCTTGACAAATGGGAACCACGATTAAGGAAATGCCTCTATCAGACTAGCCTGTGGGGCATTTTCATTATTAATGATTGATGTGGGAAGGCCCAGTCCACTGTGGGTCATGCCATGCCTGGGCAAGTAGGCCTG